GTGTTATCCAGGCAGGTCACTAACAGCAGTGTTATCCAGGCAGGTCACTAACAATAATAATGACACAAACGGAGGCAGGTCACCACTCCCACACAGGGGAAACATTGTGTTCACTATCACAGTACCAGCCATCAAACGCCCCCCGCGCCCTGGTGAAGGAATACATGCACACATTACAGCCAGTAAACTCACAATGTAAACAGTTTCCTCCCCACTTGTAATACGCGATTATACAGAGTTGATATTGGAGTGTGAGCGAGGTTACTGGGCCTGCCAGGCTTTGAGAGTATTCACACTTATTTAACGCATCACGAGAACGATCGTGTTGCGTTCGTAAACGATCGTGTTGCGTTCGTAAACGATCGTGTTGCGTTCGTAAACGATCGTGTTGCGTTCGTAAACGATCGTGTTGCCTTCGTAAACGATCGTGTTGCCTTCGTAAACGATCGTGTTGCCTTCGTAAACGATCGTGTTGCCTTCGTAAACGATCGTGTTGCCTTCGTAAACGATCGTGTTGCCTTCGTAAACGATCGTGTTGCCTTCGTAAACGATCGTGTTGCCTTCGTAAACGATCGTGTTGCCTTCGTAAACGATCGTGTTGCCTTCGTAAACGATCGTGTTGCCTTCGTAAACGATCGTGTTGCGTTCGTAGAGCAGCCCATGTTCATCCTGGTTGGCCTGTTGAATTAAATTAATTAACATTCAGATAATCGGTCCTCCCCCCTGTATGTACCACGTCAGACCAGCGGAGCTCAGCTTGTGGTATAGGGTCGTGGGGAAGGTTGGTGGTCGGGCGGCGGCGGGGACCCGCCATGCTGGGACTCTCCAGCCTCACATCCGCTCCCTCAATTGCCTGCCAAATACACAAGAGCTAAATTGAGTCCATCCATAACGGAGGGTGACGCTCGACCCCCCAACAGTTGCGGCGTCAGCACTACCTGCCTCATAACTTGGTCAGCGCCTCCCGTAATTGCTTCCTGCTTCTCGGATTATATGATTATATATATATATATATATATATATATATATATATATATATATATATATATATATATATATATATGCGAACAAGCCTGAATGGTCCCCAGGCATAAATGCAACTGAAAACTCATACCCCAGTCACTTCTGGGGTGTGAGTTTTCAGTTGCATGTATGCCTGGGGACCATTCAGGCTTGTTCGCATTTGTGTTCCTCACATATGCCCCAAAGAATGAGGTGATTTGATAAAATGCTATGCACAAGATTACCGTCCGAGTGCCGACGGGGAATTGGTTCATATAGCTTCGGCTATCACTTCCTTAAGTCCGGTCATGATGGTCAAGTGGATTAAGGCGTCCTGTAGATACCAGTTGCGTTGCTCCTGGCAGTATGGGTTCCAGTCACTTCTGGGGTGTGAGTTTTCAGTCGCATATAGTCCTGGGTACTATTCAGGCTTCTTCGCATGTATATATATATATATATATATATATATATATATATATATATATATATATATATATATATATATATATATATATATATATAATATAGTGGGTAGAATATAGTTGTGCATTAAGCCACTTCAAGACTCCGCACCAATATAGAAGCATCAAGAGGAAGTGGTGATGCTATGGGCCAATAGGCCTTCTGCAGTTACTTCCATTCTTATGTTTTTATATCCATTGGTTCGTGTTCTGTCTTGTGTAAATGTCAATCACCTCACCCAAAACATTTATATCACCTGACCCAAATGTGAGTATATGTATGTACGGATGTGTTTACAGGTTACAGTTGTGTGTGTAAACTAAAGTCTTTGAAAATATAATAAGTTATTACGAAACACGTTCAAGCATCGCGTCAGACTAGCAATAAAAATGAATTTAGGAGAACTGATTTTTCAATTACCATCGACAATGAAAAGAAACATAAGAAATATTGAGAAATTTCGTGTTAGAAATATTATTCTTACCTTTTCTGTCATATTTAACAACATATGTTTACATGAGAGACTGCTACCAAAATATACTAATTAATTATATATATATATATATATATATATATATATATATATATATATATATTTATATTAGTATATATAATACTAAAAGAATAGGGGTGATAGGAGAAGACAATATCAAAGTGATCAGTGAGGATCCACAAGGTCTTGTCTGAGTACTCTTTATTTTCTTCTTTTCTCCGAGGCTATGGGTCCCTAACCTAATTGTACTCACCTAATTGTGCTTGCGGGGGTTGAGCTCTGGCTCTTTGGTCCCGCCTCTCAACCGTTAATCTACAGGTGTACAGGTTCCTGAGCCTATTGGGCTCTATCATATCTACATTTGAAAGTGTGTATGGAGTCAGCCTCCACCACATTACTGCCTAATGCATTACATTTGTCAACCACTCTGACACTAAAAAAGTTCTTTCTAATATCTCTGTGGCTCATTTGGGCACTCACTTTCCACCTGTGTCCCCTAGTGCGTGTGCCCCTTGTGTTAAATAGCCTGCCTTTATCCTATCAATTCCCTTGAGAATCTTGAATGTGGTGATCATGCCCCTCCTAACTCTTCTGTCTTCCAGCGATGTGAGGTTTAATTCCCGTAGCCTCTCCTCGTAGCTCATACCCCTCTGCTCGGGTACTAGTCTGGTGGCAAACCTTTGAACCTTTTCCAGTTTGGTCTTATCCTTGACTAGATATGGATTCCATGCTGGGGCTGCATACTCCAGGATTGGCCTAACATATGTGGTATACAAAGTTCTGAATGATTCCTTACACAAGTTTCTGAATGCCGTTCTTATGTTGGCAAGCCTGGCATATGCCGCTGATGTTATCCTTTTGATATGGGCTGCAGGAATCTGGTGATCTTTAACTTTACCGCGTCTAAAGATCTCATCGTGTCTACACACAGACTGTCACCAGTGATATCCTGACCCAGAACATGACAGTCTTAACGACAATAGACGATTAGACATAGCCGAAGGGTTACACATTAACCACTCATCAAACTATTAACAGCCAGTTCATACTTGGGTGTAAAGGGTCAATCCGCACGAGAGATGACCCCAGGTCAACCCACACAAGAGCAGTTGACCAGAAGGGTCAACTGCTCTTGTGTAACTACCTTAGTCAGGTATTTAGGTATTTAGTCCTAGTTTATGAGTGTTATGGAGAGGTATTTTTATATATATATATTTGTGATTTTTTTAGTAGACTTTTTCCCCGTGAGGGAAATTTTTCAGAGGGAAAGTAAAGGGTTTATTGTCACAATTTTTTCCACTTTTCGCATGAAATGTTTTCAGTGAGTGTTTTACGTAATAGTTATTGTGAGTTCTTTAACATTTTGAATTTTTTACTATATATTTTTTTCTGCCGAGTTAATTCCTTCTTGGAAGACTTTTCCCGCAGAATAATAATTTCTCGTTAACCTTTTTCCGGCGTAGATGAGTCTCTCGTAAATTTCTTCTCATAAAAGATTTCCTCATGATATTTCTCGTAAAGTGTCCCTTTCCTCCCGTGAGTGAAGCAGGTGTTTGCCAGCCCCTTTGCCCCTTTCTCCATGTATGAGTAGGGGGAAGTGGGGGAGCTGGTTCCTGGCCGGTTATAACCCCTTTTACAGAGAAGGAAAAGGGCCGATGTTGGGCAGTCCATCTACCCCCTTAGAGAGTAAAGGGGGAAGTGGCAGCTCATCCACTTTCCTCCCCCCCCATTGTAGAGGGAGGAATGGGGCTGGTGTGTGGCAGCCCATCTGACCCTTTTCTCCCCCATTCCCCCTTAGAGAGGGTGCATAAATCCGCCATCTCCCCATGTATTTAATTGCTTTTCTTTATGTAACAATCTAAGGCACTTGAAGTTAGTGTGGAGGCAACTTTTGTCCACATTGGTCACGGGGTCACTGGGTGTAGTGGAGGGTTCCCCTCTATAGTGCTCTTGTGGCCCTTGGTTGGTTGTTAATGGTTGGTGGTTGTTAATGGTTGGTGGTTGTTAATGGTTGGTGGTTGTTGGTTGTTAATGGTTGTTGGTTGTTAATGGTTGGTGGTTGTTAATGGTTGGTGGTTGTTGGTTGTTAATGGTTGTTGGTTGTTAATGGTTGTTGGTTGTTAATGGTTGGTGGTTGTTAATGGTTGGTGGTTGTTGGTTGTTAATGGTTGGTGGTTGGTGGTTGTTGGTTGTTAATGGTTGTTGGTTGTTAATGGTTGGTGGTTGTTAATGGTTGGTGGTTGTTAATGGTTGGTGGTTGTTGGTTGTTAATGGTTGGTGGTTGTTAATGGTTGGTGGTTGTTAATGGTTGGTGGTTGTTAATGGTTGGTGGTTGTTGGTTGTTAATGGTTGATGGTTGTTAATGGTTGGTGGTTGTTGGTTGTTAATGGTTGGTGGTTGTTGGTTGTTAATGGTTGGTGGTTGTTGGTTGTTAATGGTTGGTGGTTGTTAATGGTTGGTGGTTGTTAATGGTTGGTGGTTGTTAATGGTTGGTGGTTGTTGGTTGTTAATGGTTGGTGGTTGTTGGTTGTTAATGGTTGGTGGTTGTTAATGGTTGGTGGTTGTTGGTTGTTAATGGTTGGTGGTTGTTGGTTGTTAATGGTTGTTGGTTGTTAATGGTTGGTGTTTGTTGGTTGTTAATGGTTGGTGGTTGTTAATGGTTGGTGGTTGTTGGTTGTTAATGGTTGTTGGTTGTTAATGGTTGGTGTTTGTTGGTTGTTAATGGTTGGTGTTTGTTGGTTGTTAATGGTTGTTAATGGTTGGTGGTTGTTGGTTGTTAATGGTTGGTGGTTGTTGGTTGTTAATGGTTGGTGGTTGTTAATGGTTGGTGGTTGTTGGTTGTTAATGGTTGGTGGTTGTTGGTTGTTAATGGTTGGTGGTTGTTAATGGTTGGTGGTTGTTGGTTGTTAATGGTTGGTGGTTGTTGGTTGTTAATGGTTGTTGGTTGTTAATGGTTGGTGTTTGTTGGTTGTTAATGGTTGGTGGTTGTTGGTTGTTAATGGTTGGTGGTTGTTGGTTGTTAATGGTTGGTGGTTGTTGGTTGTTAATGGTTGGTGGTTGTTGGACAACTGTCAATGGTTGCTATTTGACTGACTGGGCTGTCTGCTGGTCTCAGCAGCTGAGGGCTGGCTAGGCTGTCTGCTGGTCTCAGCAGCTGAGGGCTGGCTAGGCTGTCTGCTGGTCTCAGCAGCTGAGGGCTGGCTAGGCCGTCTGCTGGTCTCAGCAGCTGAGGGCTGGCTAGGCTGTCTGCTGGTCTCAGCAGCTGAGGGCTGGCTAGGCTGTCTGCTGGTCTCAGCAGCTGAGGGCTGGCTAGGCTGTCTGCTGGTCTCAGCAGCTGAGGGCTGGCTAGGCTGTCTGCTGGTCTCAGCAGCTGAGGGCTGGCTAGGCCGTCTGCTGGTCTCAGCAGCTGAGGGCTGGCTGGGCTGTCTGCTGGTCTCAGCAGCTGAGGGCTGGCTAGGCCGTCTGCTGGTCTCAGCAGCTGAGGGCTGGCTGGGCCGTCTGCTGGTCTCAGCAGCTGAGGGCTGGCTGGGCCGTCTGCTGGTCTCAGCAGCTGAGGGCTGGCTGGGCCGTCTGCTGGTCTCAGCAGCTGAGGGCTGGCTGGGCCGTCTGCTGGTCTCAGCAGCTGAGGGCTGGCTGGGCCGTCTGCTGGTCTCAGCAGCTGAGGGCTGGCTGGGCCGTCTGCTGGTCTCAGCAGCTGAGGGCTGGCTGGGCCGTCTGCTGGTCTCAGCAGCTGAGGGCTGGCTGGGCCGTCTGCTAGTCTCAGCAGCTGAGGGCTGGCTGGGCCGTCTGGTGGTCTCAGCAGCTGAGGGCTGGCTGGGCCGTCTGCTGGTCTCAGCAGCTGAGGGCTGGCTAGGCTGTCTGCTGGTCTCAGCAGCTGAGGGCTGGCTAGGCTGTCTGCTGGTCTCAGCAGCTGAGGGCTGGCTAGGCTGTCTGCTGGTCTCAGCAGCTGAGGGTTGGCTAGGCTGTCTGCTGGTCTCAGCAGCTGAGGGTTGGCTAGGCTGTCTGCTGGTCTCAGCAGCTGAGGGTTGGCTAGGCTGTCTGCTGGTCTCAGCAGCTGAGGGTTGGCTAGGCTGTCTGCTGGTCTCAGCAGCTGAGGGCTGGCTAGGCTGTCTGCTGGTCTCAGCAGCTGAGGGCTGGCTAGGCCGTCTGCTGGTCTCAGCAGCTGAGGGCTGGCTGGGCCGTCTGCTGGTCTCAGCAGCTGAGGGCTGGCTGGGCTGTCTGCTGGTCTCAGCAGCTGAGGGCTGGCTGGACCGTCTGCTGGTCTCAGCAGCTGAGGGCTGGCTGGGCTGTCTGCTGGTCTCAGCAGCTGAGGGCTGGCTGGACCGTCTGCTGGTCTCAGCAGCTGAGGGCTGGCTGGGCTGTCTGCTGGTCTCAGCAGCTGAGGGCTGGCTGGACCGTCTGCTGGTCTCAGCAGCTGAGGGCTGGCTGGGCTGTCTGCTGGTCTCAGCAGCTGAGGGCTGGCTGGACCGTCTGCTTCACATTCAGCTCACCAACTGGAAGTCTTTTGCTGATGACGTAATTTATTTTTTTGGGCTCCGTGCTTGACTTTTATTTTTTATGAGAGGAGAGTTACCGTTGACGAGACTGTGTGTGCTGTGAGGGAGGGCTGGGGAGTGGGGGTAGCAGAGACTGGTTAAGTTATATGGAGTCACTCTCTCTCTCTCTCTCTCTCTCTCTCTCTCTCTCTCTCTCTCTCTCTCTCTCTCTCTCTCTCTCTCTCTCTCTCTCTCTCTCTCTCTCTCTCTCTCCCCCCCCCTCTCTCCCTCTCTCCCTCTCTCTCTCCCCCCCCCTCTCTCTCTCCCCCCCCCTCTCTCTCTCCCCCTCTCTCCCTCCCTCCCTCAATCTCTCTCCCTCCCTCCCTCCCTCCCTCTCTCTCCCCCCTCCCTCTCCACCCCCCACCCCCGTTCTAATACTCTAGTCATACTGGCTTGGCGCACACTCCTATGGGGTAATTCCGCTCCCTTAATTACCCGCGCAAGACGGGCGGTGTGAGCATGTGTGGGCGGGGTGGGTGTGTGTGGGAAGCGTGGGCGTGTGCAATTGTCCCCCCCCCCACCTGGGACAACTGCACGTCTCCCCCCCCCACCTGGGACAACTGCACGTCTCCCCCCCCAACTGGGACAACTGCACGTCTCCCCCCCCACCTGGGACAACTGCACGTCTCCCCCCCCACCTGGGACAACTGCACGTCTCCCCCCCCCCACCTGGGACAACTGCACGTCTCCCCCCCCACCTGGGACAACTGCACGTCTCCCCCCCCACCTGGGACAACTGCACGTCTCCCCCCCCCACCTGGGACAACTGCACGTCTCCCCCCCCACCTGGGACAACTGCACGTCTCCCCCCCCACCTGGGACAACTGCACGTCTCCCCTCCCCCACCTGGGACAACTGCACGTCTCCCCCCCCCCACCTGGGACAACTGCACGTCTCTCCCCCCCCACCTGGGACAACTGCACGTCTCCCCCCCACCTGGGACAACTGCACGTCTCCCCCCCCCACCTGGGACAACTGCACGTCTCTCCCCCCCACCTGGGACAACTGCACGCCTCCCCCCCCCCACCTGGGACAACTGTGCGTCTCCCCCCCCCCCACCTGGGACAACTGCACGTCTCCCCTCCCCACCTTGGACAACTGCACGTCTCCCCCCCACCTGGGACAACTGCACGTCTCCCCCCCACCTGGGACAACTGCACGTCTCCCCCCCCACCTGGGACAACTGCACGTCTCCCCCCCCACCTGGGACAACTGCACGTCTCTCCCCCCCCACCTGGGACAACTGCACGTCTCCCCCCCACCTGGGACAACTGCACGTTTCCCCCCCCACCTGGGACAACTGCACGTCTCCCCCCCCCCCACCTGGGACAACTGCACGTCTCCCCCCCCCCCACCTGGGACAACTGCACGTCTCCCCCCCACCTGGGACAACTGCACGTCTCCCCCCCCCTCCACCTGGAACAACTGCACGTCTCCCCCCCCCCCCACCTGGGACAACTGCACGTCTCCCCCCCCCCCCACCTGGAACAACTGCACGTCAGCCATTAAGTCACACCTCGGAAAATTCCATCTTCTTTTATTCCATTCCAATGAATACTTTGCCAGCGTCTCTGTGGTGGTGTTACAAGAGGCTGTTGTGGTGGTGGTGAGGTTCTGTTGTGGTGAAGCTGTATTGCGGCTCTTGTGGAACTGTATTGTGGTTGTTGTGGTTAGACTGTATTGTGATTGTTGTGGAGCTCTATTGTAGTTGTTGTGGTAAGGCTGCATTGTCATTGTTTAGATGCTGTATTGTGGTTGCTGTGGTGCTGCAGTGTGGTAGAGGGTATTATGGTACTCGTGGGGAAATCCTAGCAGGCAATTAAGTATTTTTATTCTATTTTTTGTTAACTTGAATATTGTATTATTATGATAAGTGGACTGTAGATTTTGAGTCAACCTGAACCTCCAAATTCATATCTTATCTACACCTAGTTTGGAGGGACAATTATAGCTTATATCACTATGAGTAGATATATGATAAACTACAAATTGTTTCTCTCTTGCAAAATATAAATTATACCACATATGGTGGTGTACTAATATTAATAAAATAATTATGGCCTTAGCTGTGTGGCAGAGATGGCCTGTTTATACTGTGTGTTTCTCCCAACATCTGTTAAGGTGTGGCACATGTGCTCCAGGCCGGGCCACATTCACGAAAGCACTTACGCAAGCACTTACGAACGTGTACATCTTCTCTTGATCTTTGACGGCTTTGGTTACATTTATTAAACAGTTTACAAGTATGAAAGCTTGCCAATCAACTGTTGTTATTGTTATAAACAGCCTCCTGGTGCTTCGGAGCTCATTAACTGTTTAATAATTGTAAACAAAGCCGCCAAAGATTGAGAAAAGATGAACAGGTTCGTACGTGCTTGCGTGAATCTGCTTCGTGAATCTGGCCCCTGGCAGGGCCAATGGCGTCGGTGGCGTCCGTGTACAGGTAGAGTAACAAGAAACTTCACTATGTGGGCCAGCTCAGCTTGTAGTAACTCCAAATCACACATTACCTGTCAAATGAAGGCCATGAGTAACCGTTCCATAAACACATAAAGTACAGGTGTGTGATGTTACGTACCCCTATAAGATACGTAAGTAAATAAATTAATATGTACATTTATAATTGTGTGTAAATTACAAGCATGTATATTGATATACTTATATGTTCTATGCAAACGTACATTCATGTTACAGTGTTGGCGTTAGGCCCAACGTATCGTGGGAATGATTGTTTTATTTCTTTGTGTGCTCAGTTTTCCCACGGGAACTAATGATTTATATGTGATCATATGTGGGTAACAGAGGTGAAATATAATTGAGTGAACTGTATCTGGCAAATTGTCGTGGGACCGTCCGTTGCTGGGTGTGCATGCCATTATTCCCTTCTGTATGCATATTTTAATTACTATGTAAAGAAATAAGTACCTTATTTTTGTATATCAATATGTATTAATTATTCATTAAGTTAGTTTAAGATTACTCTTGTCACAATGTATTGCTCCATTGTTGAAATAATAAATATTGTAACTTTGGCAAATTGTTCGCGGGGCAAGGCAATGTGTTTTGACTCTCGCGTTATGTTATTCAGTAGCTGATCCGGAACCAGAGAGTTAACATCTTGGGGAGTTAAGTTATACATTTTTGTTCTGTCATAGCCATACATATAATAATATTAATTTAATGTCTGGAAGATACAGTGATAATTTTAATGTGATATATTGTGACCAAATAATCATCTGTTTGCTATTGAGATTTATTTAATATATATATATATATATAAGATTTTGTATCTATTCTTCAGTCCTAAGGAAGATTTATTATTGTGCTCATTACTTATCAAGGGGTTATACTGGTGATTCGCTATTGAGAACAGCAGTTGTCTCGTATCCCTAGACGTACTTAAAGTTTGGCTGCTGTAGGGTCACGAGCCGTAACGAACGATAGGTAACAAAGAGTTATGGGGGCCTGTGCCGGGAAATATTGTTCCCACTTTAACTTAACTATGCTAATCTAACCTTGCCTTCCTAGGTACCAGTGTGTCAAGTGTCTGTGTGTTTCTTAAGAACTATTCCATGTGCCAAGCAAGCCTTCCTGTGTGTCAAGTAACAACGTTTCACGATTTTGAGGTAAGTCATCCTATATATTTTGTTTGTGCAGTGAGGCCAAGCGAATTTTCAGTGTGGTGACAATTTTACAGTGAAGTGTAGTGCAGTGCCATTGTTTTAATTATTGTTGTGAATCAAGTGCCAAGTGTTAGTAACGATGGAGGAGAAAGTTGCAGCGTTGGTGGCTCACCCAGACTTTGAAGGGATTCAGAACCTTAAAAAGACTGAGTTAATACAAATGGCAAATCAGTTGGATTTGACCGCCAGCAATAGAATGGTTAAAGCCCAAATATTGAAAGTCATTGTGACGCATTTTGTTGAGAATGGGGAGTTAGAGGAAGAAATTCTAGAGGAGTTAAGAGAGGAGTCGAGTGATCAGATGACGTTAAAGCGTCTTGAGTTAGAAGCTCGCCAATTAGAGCTTGAAGCTCAAAAGGAACAGAAAATATTAGAGGCTGAAGCTCAGAAAAGGGAGCTTGAGACTAGGCGTTTAGAAATTGCGGTACAGTTGCAAATAGAAGCCACAAAGAAGCAACAAGCCGAGGAACAAACTAGGCAATTAGAGATTCAACAACAAATGGCTGACACTAACTTCAGGCTTGAATCACAGCATATGGCAGCTGGGCATGGAAATACTAGTAATGTTTCAATAAATAGTGATAATAATCCCATCAGGATGAATAAGTATATAGAGTTGCCCAAGTTCAATGAGGAGGATCCTGAGGTTTTCTTTGCACATTTTTATAAAATTGCCATCAGTATGAACTGGCCAAGGGATCAGTGGGTAGCCATTATGCAGTCTCAATTTAAGGGGCGTAGTCAGGAGGTTTTCACATCCCTACCTGACGCTCATAGTTTTGATTATGAATTTGTAAAGAAAAGCATCCTAAATGCGTACCAGCTAAATCCAGAGGCACACAGGCAAAAGTTCAGAAACCTAAGGAGGATAAGGGATCAGACAATAGCAGATTTTACTCGTCAGAAGACAAATTTTTGCAACGGATGGTTAAAGTCACTTGCAGTCACTGACTTTGATGCTCTAAAGAATCTTCTTATAATGGAAGAAGTATTGTCATGTCTCCCAGACCAGTTGTCTACTTATATGGCAGAACAAAAGAATGTAACAGATATTGATGAGCTGTCAAAGCTCGCGGATGAGCATGAGTTGTTGACTAAGGCCCTGTTTACGGCCACTTCACCTAAGTCTAGTCGTAGAGTAAATTATAATGCTCACCGAACTCCTTATCAGTATAAGTCTCCTCCTGGTGCGACAGTTACTCCCGTGAACTCTTCTCTTACTAACCCTAAGATGGTTACTCCATTGCCAGGA